TGGGTCAGGTACTGCCCGCGCGGGAGTGCCCACCGTGGGGACTTACTATGGTCCCATGGTCCGAGCCAACCGAGCCAGCATCGGCTGTTCTAAAGGGCTGTTTTATGCCCAGATCAACAATTCACTGGCATTCACCGTTTGCTAGATTCTGGTCTGTGCAAACCCGGGCTAGATTGCAGACGAGCCCTGATTTCCTATGGTTTCCGACTGCAGACTGCCAGACAGGCCGCATCCTGATTCCAAACCCGGCCAAACTCGAACATGAAGTAAAAAATGGCGATATACCAGTTGGCCACGCACTAGATAAGTGATTGCCACGGGAAAATAGCCGATCAAACATGGCCTCCATACCGCGGGGAAGTAGTTTGGGATCCGAAGTGACAGGACTAAGGATCCGAACGAATTCATGAGAGGTAAGAGATTCCTTGTTCTTCCAAGATCACCACTTGGCTGGTTTGTGTGTAAGTACCACCAAGGGTCTATCATGTTGGCCCGTAGACTGCATCCATTCAAGTCCCGTGTCGACCGAGTGCTTCGTACTACCTCAATGCGGGCTACCTACGTATGACCACTACACAGCTAGAGAAGCATAATCCAGTCAAGAGGAGTATCTCTTGTAATCTTTTTGAGAGAAAAATAATTAAAAAAATAATAATAAAAATAATATAAGGGGGTGATTGTGCGATTACCACCACCGGAATGGTGCAGCAAAAAGACTGCATTGGGGGCTGGCAGCTATGTTGGATTAGCAGCAGGCAGGTATTGTTGAGGCCTGGGGAACTAATAACGAGGCAGAAGCGATGCGTACCCATCCACCTTTTGGGGAGAGGGGGGGAGGTTACAACTGGAGCGATCACGTATTCAACGCCCCGTCTGTACTTTTCACTTCCACCATTTTCCGCCCATTCTGGGATCGACTGGAAGAGGCATGAAGAGCAGCCGAAAGGCGCTTTGGCCGACGATCACTGATCGTACGCACATCATCCACCTGGACCAGTGGGCGGGCGGTCGACACTGGCTGGATCCTGCAGGTTTGAAATCCGGCCTCCAGCCCCCAAAGGTGGGCCAGCCGAACCTATCAGAAACCCGCCAGCCTTGCCAGATGCCAACAGCCACTCGGGCCCTTTGCCCAGGAACGCTCCGGCCTGAGTTGTGGCCTATAGTGGTCCGTCACTGGTACCTTCTGGTCCTCTGAGATGTACGTAGCACAGTATTCTCCTGTACCAGTCACCGTGGAATGTGGGGATTGGTTAGTGAGTGCTTCTTCTATCCACCGATTGTACCCAGTACCTCTCAATCGCTGGGCTTGGAAGGTACCGAGTATGTACCTCGTATAGTATGTTACCTTGCAACAACTCTTCTGAGTTAAGTACTAAGTACCAATTGATTAGGTATAACTAGTATGTTGATGGTAACTAAACCTAGTAAGGTACCTGGTTTTTACTGGTACCGACCGGTGGTTACTGGTAAGTAACAAAGTACGTAGAAGGAAAAAAAAAAAAAAAAAAACCCTCACTCTCATCTCTCTCTCACTCACTCACACAGTATGATTCCATTCTAGCCGATTCCAGTAGTTGTGCCACTCTGGACTCAACGCCTTCCTCACAGCGTCACCAGGTCTTCTTTCTTTCCCTCCCCCCACCGAGTCATACCTCGATCGTCCTTATCGCCGCCATCACCCCAAATCCCAGCATGACTGGTGGGTGGTCTTTTCTGGTGTGTACCACGTCTTTCAGCGGATACGTATGGCACGGTCTACATACATACATACCTGCCTACCTGCTATTCACCTCCCCCACCAGGTGCTTGTCTCTCGTCTCATGACTGGTCTGGTTCTTCTCGCTTTCGCCTCCCCCATTCCCGATGGTCATTGACTGACTCGAAAGACGTTCCAGCAGGCAGAACTTCTGAGTATTGGTTATTATCGCTTAACTGCCATTTCATAATGAGATTTTTGGGGTTCCATTGACTCTTCCTCGTCACGGCTTTCCCCACCGGTGAGGCGGCGCAGTTTCTGACTCGTCACGCGTCAGCCAATGCTTCGATCCTCTGGGCATGAACTCCGTTGCTTCCATGCGAAAAAAAAAAGAACCACCAGCTAGACAAGTCAATCGGTCGGACACGTTGTTTGCTCCCCCCTAGTACTTTTGGGCTGATAAGGTACTGTCCTGGGACCATTGGCCGTGGAACCTTCATCCAGATGATGGGCTGAGTGACGACCGTTACCATTGCTTGTAACTTCCGAGCCATCGTGGACATTTCATGAAGTCGCTGGCAAGAGACGGCTTTCTTCTGAAAGGCTCTTCTGTAGCTTTTCCTCCAATGAGGTAGTAAGGGCCTCCAGTGGTCTTCAAGAAAACAAGCACCCCATACTTTGAAACGAACACCCCGTGAAATGTATGGTAGTACTTTCAGTCTGGAATTGCGGTCGGATGTTGTCGACAATGTAATCCGCCTGATCAACCACCGCAATGACACATTTCTGACTCGGGGCAAGCTAGGAATTACCATGTCTTAGCCTATGCTGTGTGTTGCGACTTGAAACCAAGTCTCATAACTACCTGCCAATATCGTACTTGGTCACTGGGTCCTAACTCCACTACTGAGCCCACACCACTGTGTATGAGAGGTATACTCATGCGGGAAAGTATCTTTCGTGACATGGATAGTGATAACACATTGACCCTTCTCATTGTCGATATTTCACGGAGCCCCTCGCTAGGACCGGATAGGAAGCATGAATGACAAAGGGGATAGGTTCTCATCAAGCCACTAAGAAACAAAGTTTATACCCGGTGCGACGCTAATGAATGGTGTCTGTGGGTGGGTTTGACAGTTCCCCTGCTTGGCTACTCATCGATAAACTAGCTCTTACCATACTGAGAGCTCGTATTTAGCGGAGGCTTACAGTCACCAGGGTTTGCCTATTGAATCATGAGATTAGTCCAAAGGCAACAGGGATTTTTTTGGAACATATCGGGATTTGTGCAGTATCGCGGATCTAATGGGAGCGTGTACTCCGCATACAATCGCTAACCTGGCCGGATCGCTATTCTTGGTCTCTCGCACTCCCTATTGCTGCTGAGCCAGACTCCCAAAGCAAGAACTGAGCCACAGCCGCTATTGCCTAGCCACTTGTGACTTGTCATCTCCGCCGTCGTTCCAGGTTCGGCCGAAGGATATCACCGCTGGTTGAAGCCTCCACTTTCCCAATCCACCAAGTCCATGGTGTTCTCGAAGGCTTCACTTACTTATCCAAGCACTCTGCACCGCTGATCTTGGCGACTACCAAAAGACCGTGCATCGCAGCCTATACTCAGCCGCACAAAGGCAATCTTGCAGGCTTGCCGGTTATAGGCTTGTAGCAGCATCGTCCGGTGTCTGGGCGATTGGTTCTACAGGCGTGAGCAAAGTGGAACGGACAGACAATCTTCCGAATATAATGGCCTCCCTTGACTGTTCTGGCCCGAGCTCAGCGAGCCACAATTCACCAGTCAATTAATCAGCCCAAGTGATTTGTTGCTGAATTGTGTACCTTGGCCGACTATACTACTGCTTACATCTCAAAGGAGCAGCTGACGTCAAGTGGCTGTCTTACCACCTAGATTATGTAGCTATGACCACCCGCTTTGATCAAACCCCGGATTTTCAGTTGAACTTTGATCACCAGATCCCTTTAATCCCGCCCATTGGAAGAAGGTTTTCTTGATGAGAAAAATAGGCAATAGGTGAAATACGCCAAGATCATCAATCGGGCCCCGAGCGGGTATCTAGGAGCTAAGTAACTCTTGTTATCACCCGCGGACAGGCACACTGACCGCCGGGTTGAATTAGACTACGGGTTCATTCGACACGCGATCTTTGTGTGGTTGTTTGGTCAAACTCCTTCTACTCCTGTTGAAGATGTAATCATCATATGAGCCTTCTGGGATATTTGTCAACCGTCCCTGTGCTATTCCGGCGTTTCTTCGTCGCAAATCTCACCAAATCCTGCTTTCCGTCGTCCAAGGGCGAACCCCTGCAGCACGGGCCTGTATGTTGCAAGGAGTTAACCGGACAATTCAAGGGCGTTGAGATCTTCGAAAGGGTTCCTGCGGTGGGATTCGAACCCACAGCATTGACGATGCTGCCAAGACCACGATCAGCCGGATCCTGGATATTCCCTCCCTTTATTATCTTTCTGCCCACCGATCAATATATTGGACCCAGATCCAGTCCGCTCCGATGAAGATGCGGAAAAATTGGCCGATTGTGGCTTCCTACCACCCTAAAAAGCCTTTGAGAAACCAATTGCAAAGGAAACTTGATCAGATCTACTCCAGACGTCGACTAACTTATATCTTGAATTACATAACGTGTGAAAGCATCACTTCTGGCCACCGGCGCGACGAGGGCTAGACTTGATGGTTATTTCAAATATATTTTCTGCCTATCTTGCTACATCCCCTAGTTCCAGCCAAGGTTTGGCCATGGAGGTATTGAGATTGTCCAAGAATTGCAGCGCACGGGTACGATACTCATCCGTGAGCCGACTAATGAAGACAAAGAGAGAAAGGGCCACAGAACATGAAATCTGCACGACGACAATAATAGCGATAGAAGAAAGATTGGTAACGTCTGGCTAGTTTGATTGCTTGGACCTGCAACAGCAAAGTCTTTCATCCACTCGCACAGCCACAGATCTCCGTGGCTGGTTTGAGGCCTGGCTAAAAATGTCACTTGACAAAGTAGAGGAGCCGTTTGGGTTCAGCCATCTACACCCCTTCTACCCGATCGGTCATCGATGATCTTCATCGCAGCATCCTGAGTATGGAGTACTCCGTTATCTATCATGACTGAGCCATATCCACCCTTAGCCTAGAGGCTCCATTCCCGGTTATCTGAAGCTCTTGCAAGCAGCGGCACTGCTTCCCATTCTCCATCTTATTTCACGGCGCCTTCAGCAGTCACACTCCGCCAGTAAGTACAGGTCTGGATCAAGTAAGCGAGGGCTCGAATAAATGGTGGGTTGGGTCGGCGTAGATTGGAATTTATTGGGCTTTGTTCTACATGCCCTCCTGAAAGGTCAACAGAGCAGTCAACAACCTGCTGCAGGTACACCATCCCAGTATAATATCTTCTGTGCGACCGTTCGGGACGTGATTCTTCTTTCTTCCCTCTTTTCTCGACCATTCTCGGGGAAGCCACTGGAATTATTGGCCAGAACCTGATTAACTCCCAAGAAAAGTCCACGGAGCATTAAGAAGCAGGATCAACACTGAATGTCGCTGAACAAGGTCCATTCATGTCTCAGCTGCTGCGCAGCCCTCCCGTGCTTCGTTCTATTCCTGTTTCATCAGCATCCATGCAAGACACGGCCAACAGGTATCAGCTATGGTTCCCTTTCACTGGAGGGCGAGTGGAGAGTGTTCTGTAGGGGGCGGATCCCAATCGGGCAATCCCAGCTCTGCTAGTGCTGCATTGTCCGCCCCTTGCGTCCCGACTTTTTCCCTTTCTCTGCCAAACCACCCCCAATAAATGGAGAGACTCAGGGCTTGCGATTGGCTGAAGCCCCCCCAATTTCATCAATCTGCCCACCAATATCGCCATTTTGAGTTGCATTGCATTGCATTGCGTTGGCGTTGAAGGCCCATTCCTGGCCTTGGCCTATGGAGTCGTGCAGAAGCAGGCCTATCTGGGCAAGCGATTTTCAGCAGCGAACCAACCCCACAGGGACTCGTGCGCGCGACACGACCATCTTTCCGTTCTGGTCCAACGGCGGTGGCTGTCTGGGGAGCATGGCAGGAGGAAGGTGTGCGAGACGGTCCTCGCGCAGCTGCTTATCAAAGTGGTCCATTCTCATCGACGTCATTTTATTGATTTCCCTTGGGCACCAATCCACTATTGGTCGCACTCTCGGGCTCCTTGGGCTCTCGTTAATTATTAGCTAATATATTGTTCCAGGGGCTGTTCTCTTTCTCCCCACGTCCCCTCCGCACTGTACCACGGAAGTTCTCGCGAACCCTCCCGAATCTTTCGGCTGCTCTTCAACTATAGATTCGCGAAACCCTAGATGTCTCCATAATCCGGAAATAGAGCATTCAGACCCAGAATGGGGATTGCTGGCTGAACCATCACAATAAGCCACGTCCAAGCTTCTGCACCCCCAGCCTAACCCGCGATAGTAGGTACTGTATGGCTCTGCAACGCTTCACTACGACGTGATGAGGTACTCTAATGTACTGTTCTGATTGGAATGTGCAGGACGACCTGAAACCTAGCCATCCACCAGCCATTCTCTTCGGCCGGAGTGACTGGACTGGCTCGGATCCCCCCTCCATCCTACTCAGGACACACCACTCATCACCCAACCGGGTGGCCGGACCATGCGCACACACCCTCTCTCTCATGTAGACTAACCCATTTACATACATCCGTACATCATCCATGCAACTGTGACACAAACCAGAAACTCAATATCAGCCTTGACGCCGCGGAGAGTCGTTCCTGACCCCTTCCTACTTGGGCAGTTCGACACTTTCCTGGTCCGTGGCTGGCTCGACCATGGCGCACGTACCGTATATCTGCAGCGGAGATCATTGTAGATCTGCAGATCATGTCCCAGTGGGCCGGTCTCTAATTTGTCCCAGCTACGGCTCTTTGCTACAATTGAAGTATTTAGCATGATTGTCCCAAACAGATTACTACTCCACGGCATTTGGTAGATTTGGATTTGGTGGGGGGTGGGAAAGAAGAAGACCACACAGGACTCGCTGTCGAGTCATGTCCATAGATTACTATTGTGCCACATATTGGTCTCAAAGTCAACCTCCTCTGGTGAACTTGTGGTCACGGGCCCCTTTGGCTGGTTGCCATGTGACAGTTCCAGCTCAGGCAGTTGACCGCACTGCAACTGACAGCCTCTACAGTACGTTTCAGCTACACACAACACCACCACCACAACCATGATGTGCATGCTACCATGTCGAACCACACGACAAGGCAATCTCTCATGACATGACAGAACTCTATGCTAGCTAGTGGTCGCCTTCTGTATCTTGTAGATGGTCTGTGGATGTCCATGACTCGAGAACCTTCAATATCCTCTGCCTGCAACTCTCGGATCTTAGAGATTACAACACCCGCAATCCATCATCTCATGTAGTAAATTAAATGGATAACTCAAGTAGGCAGATAAATCTACAACTCAGCCTTCGTCGATCATGGTTGGGGATAAGTAACTACCTTTTCGCACAGAGGATGAGCAGCTGAGCATGTCGCGTAATAATAATAATATCGACACATATAGTTCAATGTTGCTCAGCTGAGCCCATTCGGTTATAACACATTACTACCACCTTGATGATTATAGTAGTAACTTATTCGTAATAACAGCCGCGCCTATACTTGATTCAAAAAAAAAAAAAAAAAAAAAAAAAAAAAAGTTGTTCGTATTTGTCAGAATTTGTAGGATTCGTTAACGTCTCAGCGATACTTGGTGGCTGAGGTATACTATACGTTCAGGCGTGCATAGCAGGTCAGCAGCTTCGCCCACACAGAGAGGTATCGGGTTGCTTGTGATCTACTCTTGTGACTCGAGGATCCGTTTACCACTATGTTGTTGTGTGAATGTCAGGATCATAGATAGATAACCTAATAAATATTAGTAGTAATACTTACTGCTACCAGTGTGATGAAGTGCGAGTATCTTACTAGTACATGTTTATATATATATAGTACTGTGTTGTGTATGGGATGCGGAACATTATTAGTCAGTTTAATTTCTCTTCAACAAACATAACCAGTAGAGATCCCTATTGACAAGTATTCCTAAGATAATAGAACTACTCCAAGATGTTGCTGCAGATGCTATATATAGTTGTTCATGCTCAGAGTTCCAGACTCTCAGATCCATAGCCAAACTCGTTGTCAGTAGACTCTTCCGGCTCAGACGAGGCCTGGAACTGTTCGGCAGCCTTAGCTGCGGCCTTTTTCCAGTCCGCGAGCGTGCTGGTCGAAAATACGTTGTTCCCCTCGTCTAGATAGGCTAGACCATCCATCGCCCGGCCCCCACAGGCGCGCTGAAGGGCCAGGAACGCGAAGTGGCCGCCGATTACCGGTCGAGCGTAAAAATTCGGCCCTGGGAACTCGCCCTTGCCCTCCGTGTTGTGGAGATCGGTGAATGGAAGGTCGGTGACCGTTTCGTTGACCCATTTGGCGACGGATTCGAGAACCTCGCTGCGAACGTTCTCGCTCGCAACGGCCATGGAGAAGAACTCCCAGTCGGTCTTGGTATACAAGTGCCGACTGTCGAGAGGGAGGCCATACTTCTGACGCACATTGTGGTACCAAATAGACTGTCTCTGGTAGATGTGCCGGGGCACGAAGCCCGTCTTGTGCGGGTGAGGAGGGTGGGGATGGAGGGGTCTCTGTTTGGAGCCGGACGTAGCGTGTGGAGAGGTATCGGTGCCCTCCAAATGGAAGCACAGCAAGGCATCGGCGTACAGATTGTAGATGGTGGTCCACGATCCGTACCAGTCGTAAGCGAGCTTCGCGTGTGTCTGGTCTCGAGACATGCCCAACTCCTCCCACTTGGCAATGTAGCTATCTGCGATATCCTGCGATGGATGGTGAGAGATGCGCTTTGCAGATCTGACTGCACAAACTCACCTTGTAGTAGGAAGCGTCTTCATCATTGCCAACCACCTCAGCTAGCTTGCTCATGGCATTAATACCGACGATACCTTTGAGCGCCAAGTTCGTTTGAAGCGCAAGCCAGCCGGCGAAATCGTCCGTCGAAACTATCTGAGTCAGCTATGGCCATGGAGTCCTCACAGGTGACACCTTACGCTGATTCTCGGGCTCCAGCGAGAACTCCACCAAGTAGCCAGTCCACTGTTTCCAGAGACGGTAGCTGCGCTGGAGCCATCTCTCCGCCTCCCGTTGGCCTTGTATACCACCACCCCATCTTCCATCCTGCTTATCAACACCCCCATGTGCCTGGAGATTCACAAGAGGAAAGTACCCAGGATGATCGTCCGAAGGTACAGGGCTCTCGCCTTGAGTTGCCCAGATGGATGATGCAGCAGAATCTTCCGAATAACGCAGCGAGTTCACAATGGCCAAACCCATGATGAGGATGTTACCGCACTCCTCCACTGGCATATACTCGTCGTTTCCATCGGGATGTCCAGTGGCATTCGGGAAGTGAGTTCCCAAGTCATGCATGGCGTACGTGTTTGGATATTGTCCACTCAACATGTGCTCGATCAACGGCTCCAAAAGGTAGGCCAGCCACCGCGGGTTAGTGTACAAGAAAAACGGGAATGCAGGGAAGATGACATCAATCGTCTGGAAGTTTCCGTTGGATGAGATCTCTTTCAGAAACAAGATCGGATCTTCAGGCGTTCCAGAGAAGGTAGTTGCCCCCATGACCTGTCGGGCAGAGAGTGCGACAATGTCAACATAGTCATGTGCGCCCGACTGATAGGCATCCTTGGCTAACTGTTCCGAGTAGTTGGAGGCCAGCGCACTCGCCTGGGAGAAATCGTGGTAGTGGAAGTTCAGGAGCGCGTCGACGCTAGGGAACCATGACTCCCACAGAGGTCGCATTAGAGTCAAACCACGTGCAGAGGCATATTGGACAACAGGATCATGGATCAAGGCAATGCTAAATGTTACGCTGGCGCTGGTCGGCCCCGATTTCCGGTTGAGAACGAATGACTTGGAGAAAGCAAAGACCGGCTCTCGGTCTCCAATGGCACGGAAGACTTCATCGTTGACGTTGTCCAGGACTCCTTGAGTCAAAAACGTTTTCCTTACGGCTGACGCCTCGCCTGACTGAAAGTGGACATCCTAGATGCTCGGGTCAGCAACGAGCAGAGTGACACTACCGACAAGTTTACATACGGCGGGCGCAGTGAAGTGAAGAGTGCCCCATTCGGCGCGATCGCGGATTTCGGAAAACAGCAGCTCAGACTGTCTCTGAAATCGCCATCTCCGCAAAGCCGGTTTATTGTCTTTCGCATCGAACGCGTCATACTGCCAAGAGATATGACTCCGGGTGTCACCGCTCACCCAGCCTCCATTGATGTCCAGATAGACATTCACGCTTACTTCACCGTGGACATGGACTGTGACATATGATGCAGGAATCGACTGCCGCAGAGTCGATGTAGGAGTAATGGGAGACAAGAAGGAGACAGTGATCTCCAGGGGATGGGAAGCAGAGGTGGAGGGATCAATGCGGTAGGTCAGATTGGTGGTAGATGCGTCGTAGTTGGCTCCAAGGTATGTCGGGAAATCAATTTGTGACCTAGCAGCGTTTATCAGTTGGGATGGCCGTGGATGGGGATGATGCTGTGCGAGTGCATACCCGGGCAGGGATTCGTGAGGCTTGCCCAACAATGGATACACGGTGCCTGTGCTGGGGACATGAGCCATCAGAGAGAGGCCCACCTCCTCGCCAGTGTAGAACATGGGCCATTTGGTCCAGGGTTCATCTCTGGCATTTCCAAACCAGGTGCTCAGATAGGGATTCCGGACGATCAGAGGTAGAACGGGCGGCGTCAAGGTGGATGCAATGCCGACGGTCGCCTGAAGGGCGGCTGCCAGCACCGCAAGGGATGGGCGCATTGCGGCTGTATCAAGGCAGTCAACCGACAGGTAATGAATGAAGATATCAGACAAATGATAGGTGTTGATGGATAGGATGGAGAAAGCTATCCATCAAGCAGCAGTGATGGATGGAGGTGGAAGAGGAGCGGAGGTGGAGGTGTAAGGTCGGGGGATCGTAAACAGCTGAACAGTAAGCACCTGATGATGATGCAATCACTCCATGACAGGGCAACGATCGACACGGTCGGAGCAGCGAACGAATTCGCACCGTCCAAGCCACTATCAGAACCCCGAAAGGATGACCAAAGAGGATATAAAAAGATTGGAGTAATTTGTACGACACATGAGGAGGACTCGATGGCAAAGACAGAGTCTCCGAGAGCCAAAATGCGGGGAAAGCTGGGGATTCCCGCATCGGGACGATAAGCTAATCTGCCAGGCACCACATCTTTTGAAAAAAAATAATACGCTGTTATTGTATTTTCAGTAGCCCAGCAGTTAGCCTAGGGAAGCTTCAAAATAATAGCTACGGCATCCTCTCCCTTGACAGCTTCAACCCGCAGATAGAGACCTTAAGCTCAACGCATAGTTAGATATAGTGATCCCTTCATATTGTTCCACGATGTGCTCACACAAGATATTAGTACATATACTGTTCATATAGGAAACCCCCTTGATTCAACTCATGATGTTTATGCTATAGGAATTCGGCAAGAACGAAAGGAAACCAGACTTGTAATGAAGTCACGTCCGCTTGTATATCAGTTAATTTTATTGAAAGCTTTATGTATACAGAACCATCGCATAGTTTCACCATCTCTGAAAATCGCACGGGTTCAAGTTAGTATATGTTTGATACTTCCACTAACCTTCGATGATGATATACGGTAACTTCTTGATAATATGGTCAGAAGTGGAAAGTATCTTGACATCCTAAAACGTATAGCGTGTTGAGACGTCTTTTATCTTAGAACAGCGCTTAACTTACTGCATAGGATTGAAGCTCTCATTGAAGATGCATACTATCAAATATTACATCTGTACAACGAGACATGAAATGTTGGAGAAGCGCTAGAGGCGCTTCTTATTAGCCATGCCAACTATATCCATGAGCTGTTGCATGAAACAATGCGGTAAGTATTTCTGCTACATGAGATATTCTTCCATGCTCTCTGGAACTTTCAAATCTTTTATGTGAACTTGGCCTTCATGAATAGGATATGTGAAAGTAGATGTTAAGAGTTAGAGCCTGCTCCCCTTGTTTTACTGGATTATTGATGAATGACGATCTTACACTTGGCTGCTAAGTATATTATTCCATCTGAAATAAGATAAGACAATGGAATATTCCAGTTGCACAACCATCAGTACACTCTGCGATCCTGAGTGCACCTTCACATGTGCTGGATCGAGGGTGCATATTACCGACCAATCAACGACTGTCGTGTACTGCATTTCTGTCCCACTTTAGTTATATCCGTCCCAGAATGGTAAAAGGCTAGCCTTATGTAGACCAACTACCCCGCAAATACATGCCACTAACCAAATACGGTAATCAATACATTCGACCTAAGTTGTGCTTAAAGACGAACACGGGGCTCTAGAGATTGTATAAAGATATTATGCAGGACTAAGGATTTTAGTCTAGCTTCTATAATAAGTGCTGCTGACTGAATCTGGGCAGAGTGCAGTCGTGCTGTCATACCTAGTTTTGATCTCGACAGCCGCCAAATATGTCTCCGATGGTACATGAATGTATTTCTTCTCCAACACAACATGCGCGAGATCTTTTCGCAGTATTACTGATGGCTTGGTTACTAGTTGATCACTGGCCTCCAGATACTAGTATGCTCAACTACATAAGTTATCAATCTTCAGCAATACAAACATTCATAGGCTTCCCCCGCGTACGCGTCATAGCTTTGTTCGCACCAACGCCAGCATAGTCCCTGGCCACGAGGTTTACTGATATTCATGTCAAAGACTGGAGCTCTCTGACTCTAAAAGATGGAGTCCAACGCAGTAGCCAGTCATTTGCACAGCTTCAGGAATGTGGATGCTGCTATCTGCTTGCATCTTTGCTAGATCGCGATGAAGTGGAACCCGAGAATGACAGAAACACCTGGATTGCACGTGTAGAGAGATCAAACACCAATTCCCAATTATGAAACTACCGAACGGGCAATCATTCAGTGTAGAGTGTTACTATTTCCTCTTCCACGGAGAAACCACAACGCCGTAAATAAAAGTGGATGTTGAAAAGCGGCCGACGCGTGGAAGGGAAGAAGAAAGACACGCTATGAGGCTGGACGTTGCTTAGTTTCACCGCAAAGGGGAACCACCGAACCCTCGACGCGGATGACCACGCGCCTCTGTCTTTCACCCCCATCTTTCTCCCCAACTCGCTGCCATTGAGTCTTCTGACCCAGACCGTGACTTTGCCTTTCTCCCTTGCTTCCTCCCTCTTAACCTTTCGGACCCAATTGCACCAGCTCGTGATCCTCCACTCCGGAAGACGTGTGCGCGCGTGTGTGGGCATCGTGATTTAGTACTACTACTACTTACTAGTACTACTTTACTACTAGACCCTCTCACCCTAAACTTCCCCTCCCCAACACACTCTTTTACTTTACCTACACCACGACACCACCCTTTTTCTTTGAAGCTCCTATACTACGGAGCACATCACACCCTCCAATGCACTCTACCATGACCGCATCACACCCCAGCCCCGTCAAAGACGGTCGGCGAGTGCTCGGGGAGAAGCACGCCAACGCGTGCCTGTCACCCGCCCACCATCGGCACGCTTCTGTCTCGCCCCTCAAACAACAACGCTCTCTCCTTGAGACCTCCTCCTCTCCTAAGAAGCTCCTTCCTTCGCCTCTCTTTGCGGGCCAGAAACGTTCTATCGACCAGGTGGACAGCACCAGCGAACCCCAGATCAGCCATGCCAGCGCGCAGCCCCAGTCGCGGCCAGAAGCATCTCCGAACGTGCAGCATGACGTTCAGCAGGACTCTCAGGTATGTACCACCATGATTCCACACACCCGGCCAAAAATGCGTCAAATTGCCCATTGACTCTAACAATAAGCCAATTCAGCCACACGCGACGCCAGAGACACCAACACAGCTTCTAGAATCACAACAACACCAGCCACAAGAAGATACCCACTCCGACCAAACAACAACACCGACAACAACCACACCCCTCATCCCCGAAGATCCAGCAACGCGCAAGCGCTTCATCCAAGAGGTACGTACCTCGCACCTCCATTCCCACTGACAAAGAGTACTAAACGTTCTCCAGAAAGCAACCCTCCTCCGCACGCGCCTCCAAACTGCCATGCGTCACATCCAGGACCCCCAACTCGACCGCCGTCTCTCCGACCTTGAAGCTCACAGTCGCAAATACCCTCGTCTATCTCTTCCCCAAGAACAGCGAATTAACATCACCACGCCGACTTCCTCTTCCACATCCTCGTCCTCCCAGAACCAAAACCAGACCACCCCGCGCCCTTACCAACCTACCACACACCTCCCGCTGCACGAAACCGAAACTCAGAACGCGTCCGGCCTCTCCTCCCCACCCCTATCCACCGGAACGATCGCAACACAGAAGGAACAAGAACAAGAAACACAAACACCCACCCAAAGAGCAGAAGATGACGATAATGACGATGATCCTATGAGAACACCCACCCAGAAGTCAACAACCCACCACAATCATACCCACCGGAGAACAAATACTCTCGGCTCCCCAATGCAGCTGAGTAGTCCTCCGGCGACGGTGTCGAGGCGCAGAAGTACAGAAATTGGCAAGGATATGGACATGGGAGAAGACGAGGAGCCGCAAGAGAGACAGCGCCGGTTGTCGCAAAAGGGAGATGCCGTGGATGGGTTGTTGAAGTTGATGGGGACGGGGGAGGGTGTCGCTACTGCGACTGGAACCGGGGTCGCGTGAGCGTCGGTGTTTGAATCTTGCATTGAGACTTTGGTTATAGATGGTATTGGAGTTGGAGTTGGGATTCGTTGGACAAAATTGGATTTGGAGTGGAGTTTTTTTTTTTTTTTGCTTGCTCGTGTCACATTTGGTTTGGAGAAGCATGTATTAGTATGGGGTGGTGCATGTATGCGCCGGTGAAAGACATACACATAGATAGACAGACAGACGTTACATACATGACTTATACTCCGAACCCATCGCATCAGCAATGGTTCTCGAGGAAAGTCAATGATATGATACCAACAATGAAATGCAAATCAAATCTACATGCCATTGCTAAATAAATGACGTTATATACAAGGTAGTCAGGTGAAAACAACAACTACCGCACCTTCTTCAACTTATTCCTCTTCCTCCCCAAAACATCTCTCCCCTCCTCAATCTCGCCATTCGCCTCTCTCTTCGCCTCCCCAACCTCCTTCAACACACCCGTCCTAACAACCCTACTCTCCACACTAACCCCCTCCTCACTCCACTCTTCCATCTGCCTCCCAACCCTCTCCTCAATCGCCAACACAAGACTCACATCCCTCTGCCCCACCAACGTCACCGACTCACCCTTCCTCCCCGCACGCGCCGTTCTACCCACCCGATGCACATAATCATCCGGATTCCTCGGCACATCAAAATTGACCACCAACTCCACGGACGGAATATCCAAACCACGAGACGCCACATCCGTCGCGACGAGCAACCTCGCCGCGGACGCTCGAAACCTCGCCAAGTTCGCATTCCGCTCCGACTGCGGCAGCAGACTATGCAGAGAAGTAACACGGTGAGACAGTCTGCGGAGCATACGCTCCAGTAAGTCCGCGGTCTTGGTGTGGTTGCAGAAGATGATGGCTGGTTTGGAGGCGTTGGCTTCCGTGGAGAGGAGAACGTGGAGGAAGGCTTCGCGGTGGGTCATGGGGACTTTGAGGTAGGTTTGTTTGAGGGTCGGGGGGATGGAGGCGTTGTTTTCGGTGGAGATTTCCGTCACGAAGATGGGCGGTTTGGAGGCCGGGCGGGGCATGGATTTCAGTGCGCGTACTTCGGGCGTTAGGGTTGCTGTGAAGAGGAGGGTTTGGCGCTCGCTGGAGGGTGGGAGGGCCGACAGGCAGGTTTCGACGTCGGGGAGCATGCTGCCGTGTCCTGGGGAGAGGAGTCGGTCGGCTTCGTCGAGAACGACCATGCGGACGCGCTTCAGGCCGCGGATGGTGTCGGTGCCGGAGGTGTTGATGTGGTCGGCTAGACGGCCGGGCGTGGCGATCACGACGTGTGGGCGTTGCGCGAGCGCGAGGGCTTGGGGGCGCATGTCGGTGCCGCCAGTGATGAGGAGGGGTTTCATGCCTTGGGGGGCGGAGATGGCTTTGATTTGTTCGTAGATTTGGAGGGCGAGTTCACTAGGGTATATAGGGTTAGCGATGGTGATTGATGGGTGATTGGGGGTGGGGGTGGAGGTTTGGCTTACCGAGTTGGAGTGAGGACAAGGCCGAAGATACCGAATGGATCCTCCGCCCATTTCTGCAGCATGGGAACTGAGAAGGCAATAGTCTTACCGGAACCAGTCCGGCTTCCACCAATGCAGTCCCGGCCGCTCAGGATCTCGGGGATACAAGCTTTCTGAATAGCGGTTGGTTTGCGAACGGCCATGGTGGTAAGGGAACCGATCAACCACGGCGCCACTTTAAGAGAGGCGAAAGAGTTCTGCGCTTCGTTGAGACCGATCTCCAGCGCATCTTTGATCAAAATGGGCTCGTCTTTATCCGATGTGGCGGGCTTCTTCTCTTCATCTGCGCCCTTCTTCTTGATACGGGAGAGAGTGGGGAGCGGCGCCGGGGCAACGTAGGAGTCGGTGGAAGACTCCGAAAGACGTCTTCTCTTGGGGGCGCGGGATTGCAGATCGGTCTGCTCGACCTCCGAGTCGGAGGATTCGTGAGGATCGTCCATAACAGGCTCTGGGGAGCTGGAGGGCGACATGATTTGGGGTGGAAACTGGATGAAGATCTGATGCGCTTCGATTTTCTTCTAAATTTCGCGGCAGAAAAAGAAGTCCGCGCGGAGCGGTGAGGGACCTAGACTAACTTTATGGGGGATAGACTACGTCTGAGATCGGGCCAATCAGGATGTTTGAACTACGTGAGTGAAATCTAGTCTTATTCTAGATATAGTAACAGTTAAGAATCTATTTTAAATCATATATAAATAAATATCTTGTACTGCAAAAATCTAGAAAAATTATATCAAAGTTAAATATTATATAAATAAATATCCCTTGGAATGCTGAGCTTGGGCGGGCCCTTATCATTGACTTTTACTGGTCGGAACTCAAGCATCAACCTATGAGAAAGCGGGTGAAGTCACTGGGGAAGTAAGTAAGTATCCGTGTAGAGAACTGCCCAAGCGAAAACGAATTTGTATTGTCTAATAATGAAGGTGAGAAGGATTGCACGCTTGTGCATAATTGAGTAAAATGGAGTGGCAGTATTTTTATAACTGAACTATTCTGAAGTAAGAGGTAGAATTGATAATAGTATTACTATGACTGTGTCTATCCTGGACTCTTCATAAACATCTCACCATCCTTCTCAGAAATCTACATACTCTTCATCCAATAACGGGTTGACAGAATACGTTTCGTACTACTACTATGTGAGAGCCTATACATAAAATGTTCTCATTTACCTACTTAGATATGTAACTTTTTGGTCATTTCATGATTCCAAGCTCTCTTTCTTTCTCTCTTTCTTCAGGAGTTCATCCACGTTATAGGTCACCAACCAGTCGCCAGCTGGCTCATGCTCCGGTAGTTTGATGTCTGGATTATGCCTGTTTATGCCGCTGGCGAACAGCACCCGAGCATAGGGAGGGTCAAACACGAAAATTGTTTCGTCGGTAACCCTGTTCTTCACTTTTGCCGTGGCTTCAATCTCGTCAATGGCGATGTACTCGTTTGGTTGCGGTACGGAGGCCCTCTCAATTTGTAGCTTGATATGCTGGGCTGTCTCGGGGTCAAACCGGGTATCGATGAAGTATAAGGAGTTGGGACCGGCTGCAGCCACGTAGGGAGTATCTGGTGCCACAACTTGGGCACCCCACTCGGTGCCAATCACTACCGGGACGTAACTACTATTCCGGTATTCCTCTTGGAAGGTTGAAGAGCCCTCACATGGTCGGAATGGGTTTAGAAGCATGGTAATGAGTAGCAGTGGGAAGAGCATTATCAGCATCAGAGTAAAAATAAAGAGAAGAGAAAGTAGGCTGTATCTACTGCTAACTTCGTAGGTCTGTGTGCAGATTTTATATCATGCTTCTGTCAGTAGCGTGGGAGTTCTGGTTTATGACATGGAGGACCATAGATCCCTGCGCATAAGATACTTGAATTATCAAGTTCGATAACCAAAGCTACATCAGAAACAATTGGTCACTGCATGATTATGACAATGCTACCGTTACAGCCTCGGTGATGCCGGTCTGAGGGGTTGGTTGTCAAATGTTACTGCCTATGTTGGACTGTGCTTGTGGTGCTGATTGCTCAAAGGGACTAGCAGTTCGGCCTATCCTATAGGGCGAAGAGATATAGATCTATCTATTTGTAATATAAAATAGCAGGGATTTGCTTCCATTTGGAAGCCCGGCGGGGTACAACCTGGGAATGTCTTGGATAGTTTGTAGGTGAATGCCATTTGGACTCTACACCTGGTCAAACCGGACAATATAGCTAAGCTAGTTTAGGACTATAATCTGATCCCTATATCTAAGTATGGAATAGTACATATGATGTCCCAAAGTTAAATTCCCTATTAAGATGCATCTTACCTAGCCTACCTCCTGAGTAGAACCCTTACTGGTGCCTCTGGAGCTAGCCCTGGAAATAGTATTGGTAACACAGTGGTGGTAGTCTTGGTAGGGCTCTTTAGGAGACAAAATAGAAATAAAATCGATTAATTTTGCCTAGTCCCTCATATATATACAGCGCTAAGCTTATATTAAGTATTGCACCTTGACAGACGGGCGAATGGTTGTTAGTAAAATCTAATGGTCCTCTTGTGACAAATATGTCACAGGCTCTCCTAATTTCTATCAGCGTTATGAGGTTATTCAGCAACTATAAGCAAAAAGAAATATCTTGCGATCTTAGTGGGCTTGCAGAATTCATAGGTCCACCGGTAACACTGACGATGTTTGCGCGCTGCTTCAAAGTAGGGTCCGTTCCACTAACTGTTGGGAGTCCAAACAGAGGCCGTCATGTTGTACCAATCAGCTCATGTAAGAACATTGATTTAGACCCTGGAAACCCTGAGAAAGGAGAGACCTGAAAAAGGCGCATCTCAATCGAAGCAAGCCAAAGATAATATTTAGAATAGCTTCTTAAGACAATACTTGATAAGATGGTATGACAAATAAGGGCTGACTTGGTGATTGTAGTAATCGAGTATACTTATCTCCTACTCCCGCCGGAGCTCCGAAGAATTGACAAGGATTGTTCTTTATTAACTGTGTGGACTGAGTTGTATAGACGTGACTGGCCGAATCCACTTGGACAACCTCAACCCGCCAGGAGCGCTGATGAAATGCATATGGTAGGCCGGCGTGATCTAGACCTTCATGCTGCATTGCGCTAAGGGAATGCCAGCAAAGCTGTCACCATCCAATGAAGTCCAGCCTCCAAATTTCCAAGCCTAGGTGATCTGACAGCGCTGTGGTAGTGGTGGAACGTGGTGAAGCCCCAAGGTGGCTTTGGTCAGTGGCCATGAGATTGGCCGGATCGATGGCTACTTGACTCTCCCAACGATGAAAGGGAGGGCTACTCATATCAAGGTAGACTGGGCCGTCTGGATCCCTGGGCCGAAAATAATGTAGCTATGGTAGTGCGGAAATCGCGCTCGACGTAGATGATCAGCATGCAAACAAAATCTCTAGAGTCTTAAATCACCCCAGCTGGAGAGAAGGCGTTGGGGCACGTTTGAGGGTACACTGACACTTATATCGAGGCTACTGTAGCCATAGTCACACCAAGTAGACCAACGAGGGAGAGGGAAGTCCTGTGCGGGCCTCCCCCACTAGCAAGTAAAGCCCGCCTCTCTAAGGCTCGCGCTGTTTGCTTCAGACACATTATCGGGCAATCCTGGGACTCATATCATTTGATGACTCCGTAGAGTCACCCTTCATTATGTCCATGACTGAAAAGCCTGAAGAAGCTGCGTCCAGCCTCAAATTGGTGGACGAGGAAGAGCTACCAAATCTTGAGTAAGCCTTCCCTTCCTTGCCCTCACGTGGTTTGGTATCTATCATATTGCTAAACCTCGCCAAACGCGGGTTTGGGGCGGGTTTCTGTATAGAGGAACCGCCCATGGGTTACCCGCGTAGGCAAAAGAGGTTTTAATGTAAGAAAGTCTTATATTATTCTATAATGTGTATAGATTATTATAGATAGTGATACTGTTAGGGGTGATGTGGGAGACATAATAAGCTTAATTATATGTATGAAAACTAGCTATTGTTCTGCTTGAAACCGAGTACCAATCTTTTATACTACTAAAAAGACAAGATATAATATAGAATTAACCATATATTCTTATCTAGTTTATATAATTTATAATCTTGTAATAATTATATAATTTAGTAGTTAGTTACTTTGCACAGAGTACTTCGGAGGAATTACTTGAAGAAGAGCAACGTTTGATGGTCAATATAATGCTGCATTCATCCTGCTGGGATTATACGTCAAAGGAACTGTCGACTGCAACTCATGCCATGCTAGGACGGCACTAAACCTGTACAAATCCCTCCCAAACTCGAATAATGATGGTTCACTCAAGGCCCAGCTGCCCAAACTCATCCGTGATTGTAACCCAAGGTAAAACGCCGGTTCATCAAATGCAAAGCGACATCCAACAACTATACACTCCAGTACCACGCCGCGGTGGTACCGGCGGCCGAAACCGACGGAGAAAAAAAAAAAAAACAAAGAATAACAGATACGGCGCCAGGTTAACATGACTATTTGCGCTTAAAGAGCTGCATGACGGAGGGTCTATATCATTGACAGATCATGAACGGTAGATGCCTGCTGTGAATCAGTCACTGGCCCAACTAGGCATGTAGCTTAGGTGTACTTACCTGGAAATGACTGTGGCGTCTGCCCAGCTCCCAGTCCCCGTGGAAGCGGAATCTGGGAGATCGAACTGGGCATATCGATCCTCCGAATCAGATCGACCATCCTTTCCGGAGAGAACTTCCCCGCGTTGTATGCTGAGGCAGAAGGTATAATGCTAAGAAGATAAACGATGTCGCGCGGCAGAGGTGCCGGTGATCCTTGCGACCGGAACTGGCCCCCGGACGGCCCACCCATGGTCTGCTGCGTGCGCTTCTGATCCAGCTGGCGTCGCTGCGTCGTCTTGAGGGGAGACTCGGCACGCACGAATTTGCGCGGCCGAGCCATATCGTCATCGAAGTCATCCAGCTGGCGTTTAGGCGAGTCTGTCGCAGACGCGTCCTGGTACCGCGCAGTAGGCGTGGCATGACGGGAAATGGCTTGCTCGGCCGGGTATGCCATCTTAGGCCGTGTCTGAGAGGGAGAAATAATGGGTCGCACAGCAGTAGGATCGAAGCCAGGCGTCGCGTATCGGTGTGCGAATTGCTCCAGCGTGGGGTCCTCTGGGAACAGCTCGCGCATGCGGTTTTCGAGATTAATCACTTGCACAAGGTCACCGTACCGCGACTCATATTCGTGGAGGAAGGCAAAGATAGGCTTCGTCTTCTGGACGTTCTCGGGATTAGAAGCGAGCTTCCTGACCGTCATCTCGAAAACAGCCCGTGCATCTGGGTTCAGTTAGCATCGTATCCATAGACTTTTAGCCATGAGCGTATACTTACTGATAACGTCGTTAATGTCAATAAGATGCTTCAAGTATTCCAGCGCAAAGTTTTCATCTTCAGGGAACAGCTTCGCACCACGCTCGAAGATCTTCGTTGCGGCGGGGTCCTTGTAGCAATGATACTCAATGAGAGCACTGGCGATGTAGACATCACTGGTAATGCGACCCCGCTTGCGCGCATCTGCAAAGATCTGTCTCGAGCCCGGCATCTCCCCAGGCTTGCCCTTACCCTGGATGCGGCGCATGGCGCGCATCAAAGCAATCCAGGCAAAGGATATGGTCTTGGAAAGGATACCAATTTGTATGGCATGTGCTTGGCGGACCGCGTCGATCTGTGCGTTCTTGACGGACTCCCTCGCCTTCGCCTCACTCTGATCGTCCTCATCGTCCTCATTCTTTGTCGGTTGCTTCTCGGTATTCATCTTTGCGAAGGTCTCTTCGAGATGAGCAACATCTTGCTGCTCGCGAGTCCGGGCTTTGGAGATCAGATCGTAAAGCGAATCGAGGAGTCGGTCGTAGGGTTCTCTGACTTTGGCGCCGCGCTTGACGGGATCCTGCTCGGAATCAGAGTTGATTTCCAGCCAGTCCGCACGCTTGAATGCAAGCAAGCAGCTTTCTGGGTTGCCGTCGATGCCGAGCTTCAAGAACTCGTTCCCTTCGGTCTCCATGTCGTTGTGGAAGCAGAACTCGGCAGCTTCAAACCAGAGCTCGGGAAGGAACCTAAGGGCCATAAGTGCTTGCTTATAGACATAAACCACACGCGTCCGGAAAACACTCATGTCTTCCTCCTTCAAGACAAGCGGGTCGCCCTTCTCCCAACTGATCCAGCGCTTCCAGATCTCGACCTGCTGTAGGAACTCAATATCACCGTCCGAACCCGGAACGGGAGGTAACCTCGGCAGCGTTGTCCGGTTGAGGTCCCTGGTGATGTTCTGCAATTCAGTGAAGGAGCTGCGGGCGGTCATGTACGCCGGAGACTGCTCCTGTAGGAACTTACGGCCCTGTACGAAAGAGAGATTATTGTTAGAGCGGATGTTCCACAGGGCGCTTTGTTAGGATCTTACTGTCAGCTTGTTCAGGCCCATCTCGAACTGATCATACTCTTTCCAGAGAGTATTGACAGCCTGGGTGGGTACCCCAATGGCCCGTTGATAGGCTTTCCGGAGTAGGTCCATTTTTTGTTGATCCTGCCATCCAGAACCCCCGACGTTTCCTGGGCCGGAGCGGATGAACTGGACGTAGTCGGACCAGATGGACCCCGAATCCTTGTCGATACCGATGTGCTGCAGAGCCAATTCATAGGCCGATGAAATGATTCGTCTCGCTTGTCCGTTTGTGTCGGTGGTGAGGGGATTCCGGCGACGAACGTAATCAAGGTATACCGTCCAGAGTTGCACATCCGCAATCGTCA